CTGGACGTCGCGCGGAGGGCGGAGGCGGGACCCGACCCACGACCCGCCGTGCTGGGGACCCTACCGACTGGACCCGGGAGGGACGCAGTGCCGCTGAAGGTCACCTGGGTGTCGGGACACGGGGCCAGTTACGAAAAGACACGCCGTAGACACCTCCCAGACAAACCCTGGGCCGGCAGTGGTGAGGCGGCTGGACCTCACGTGGCCCTCGGCGAGGTTCGAGTCCTGCCTGGAGAAATACACCGGCTCTTCAGCGCGGGCCCCTAGTCCAGGGAGGAGAATGGAGAAGGGACTGCTGCTGGCGTTTCAAGAGGGTTCGCTTTCCTCCTCTCTGTTTTTGGAGCCCACGTACCCATACGCAAATTAAATCTATTACTGTAAGGGGAACAGAGTGACAGTGCCCTGCAGGGCCGGCCACCTGTTGGGAAGGCTCTCGTCCCCGTCCGGTTGAGACCAGAACACAAGGCACCACTGGCCCGGATGCTGACCGGGGAGAGGAGCAGGCGTCCACACTAGGGTCAGAGTACACCTTCACGTGGGAGTGAAGGGGACCACAGGGGCTCGTGGTCACCCAGGAGCCCTGTGGCCTGCTGGGCAGCCATCTTCCTCGGAGACGGGCAGGCAGGGGCGGCACAGCGAGGGCAGGGTGCCAGGGCAGCGATGTCCGGGCTGAAACGGAAGCTGGACAGACCACGGTGAAGCGGACATGGGTCAGCGTGGCCACTGGTGCCCCTGCCAGGCTGGGTCCCCTCCCAAGCCGTTCAGACACAGCACGGACCGTCAGGGCCACGTCTCATCCCGCACATGCTGTCCTGCGCCCACAGAGGGATGAGTTGGTGGACGCTTTGGACAGGCTGTACCCCCTACCGCCCGGGGTCTTACCTTAGGGCATGTGTGCTCCCAGGAGAAAGAGACAGAGACAGTAAGAGGGAAGGTGAGAGATGGCCACGCCACAAGCCCTTCTCCTCCCAGGATCTTGGGCATGCACACACGTGCCACCGGTGAGTTTCAAGCCACCAAGTCTTCAAACCTCGAACCGTTGGCCAAGTGGGAGTCCAGCGACATGCCCGCTATCCCACCTGTGGCCTCGCGGACTAACTGGCTAATGAGCAGCTCCCGACGGCTGAAAAGGTTCCGTCACTGTCTCACACCTGCTCCTTTCTGTGCCGGGGACCTCGGCCGACCGGGCCGGCAGACACGCACTTGTGCCGGCCCTCTGCACCCACTTGCAAACTGCCAGGACCTGCTCGGCTCAACCCGCTTCTGAGTGGGGAAGGCTGTGGGTAAGAAACAGACGCAAGAACACACACACAAGTATAGGAAAGCGAGGGTCAGGCGGCCCAGCTCCTCTGATGAGACGTGATCTCAAACCGGCCTCAGGTTTATTCTCTCAAAGGGCAGAAATGGGACGCGAAGAGAAGGGGGAGGAGCCGGCGGAATGCGGAGCTGTTTTGGGATGGAAGTCTTCTGATGTGGGGAGACGCCCCGTGTCATTTCTGGTCTTTGGGGGTGAAATCTGATACGCAGACGGCCCTGCTGGGGTGCTCATGGCACAGCAGCACCTCAGCACGGCCCAGAGGCCACGTCTCAGACGCTGCCCTCCACAGACCAGCCCCTGCCCGGGAGCTGCACGCCGGGGCCAGCTCTGCCAGGACTGCACCGCGGGGCGGCCGGCGAGTCAGAGCCGCACGGACAAGGCCCTGACCGCCCCGGTCCCGCGTGTGCAGCCTCCGTGTGCCAAGGTCCCGAGGAGGTGGAGGGCTGGGAGGCGCGGTGTGTGCCGGGACCACATGCTTCCCATCACGTGTGCACACAGTGCCCTGCCCGGTCAGCTCGAGGGGACGACAGCGACCAGCTGATGTGAGGGCTATGTCGCTGACTCCCGCTGGCTTGAAACACGCTGGGCGCATGTATGTGTGTGCCCAGAGTCCTGACAGAACGGAGTGTGGGTGGCCCCCCGGGGGGTGATTTCTCGTGGTGTTTCTGCTGAGGGCATATGCCCTAGTAGAAAATCTCTCCAAATGAAAAGGTGTTCACAGGAAGACCGCGGGCCTCGGGAGGTGTCCTGGGGACCAGAGGAGGGTGCAGCTTTGCTTTATAGCGCTTTCGGTTTTTCCCACGAGTGTGTCTCGTTCGTACGCCCCAAGATCACCAAAGGGGATCGAGACAGGCCACCTGTGACGCCATGGAGTCCCGCCTGGGGTGTCTGTGGTGGCTCAATCCGGCCCCCAGGTCCCAGGAGTTACTCCTCCAGCCTAGGCGGCCGTCCTCCGAGCACTGGCTGTCACAGTCCGGATCAGCGAGCAAGGTCTGCCCTGGGATGTCCCCAGACCACCTGTCCTAGTCTCTGGCTTCAGCTCATGGCCCCAGCCCACCCGCCCCTCCAATCCAGAGCCCTGTGGGCCGTGGGCCACTCCTCCTCTGGTCAGAACCCACACCCACTCGCTCCTACACAGCTCCTACCTGCCACTTCCCTGCTGGTCTCCAGACTTCCGCACCCCACACCCTCCACACGGGCACAGCCACCCGGCGGCCACACAGCCATGTGCACACGCACGGCCTCCCTGGAAACCCTCCCTCAGCCCTGGGCAGCCATGCCGGTTGCCGGCCCCGCCTGAGCCCTCTTCCTGCTAACAGCACCCTCTCGGCGTCAGCGAGTGCTCGCGGAGGGGTGCACGGCGTCTGACTTCCTGCTGCCTGTGGCGCAGAGCCGGCTGAGGCGCCCACCCCACGGACCAGGGGCCACTGCGGCCAGGGCTGAAGCCTGTCCCTGGCCCAGGCAGTGGGTACCACTCGGACGGTGCCACCCTCTGACCTCAGCTTGGAGCCACCGGGCACTTCCCACGCGCCCCAGAACCAGCTCACCAGCGAAGGGGTGGCCTGTCTCCGAGTCCAGTGCTGACCCAGCAGGGGCACATGCGTCTCGACAGCAGGACAAGGAGTCACTAGGCAAAACCTTATTTAATAAGAAAATCACTTCTTTAAAAAATATAGCGTCTTTACGTGCTAGGCACACGTCCTAACACATGGCTGAAAACAGATTCGAGGCGGGTTACTCCTGTGGCGAAAATGCAAAATGATACTGGGTCCTGGGATCCTGAGGTCATGACGCCGGGCCACGCAGACAGGTGGCCTCGAGGTGGTGACCTCGAGGTCTGGCCTCATGTCAAGGTGAGAAACGCTGCGGCAGCCCCGGCTCCCGGCCCAGGGTCTCAGTCCGTGTCTCCGCCCCCTTCGCTGCCCTCTGGGGGGCTGGGCACCTGCAGGAGAGGACAGGACACAGCTGAGGGCACGCACCGCCCTCCCGGGCACGTCTTTCCCGAGAGGAGCCCCAGCCACGCAGCCCCAGCCCCTAGTGGGGCCCAGAGTGAACACG